TAATTGAAGCTTTATTGAAATAAAGCTTGGATTAAAGTTAAAATCTTGATTGTTTGTTTTTCAGTTTTGTAAACATCAGGAGCAGGATACGCTGAAAGATCTTTTCAATCAAGATGACGATCACGAGGAACTGGGCAATTTCTATGTAAAAGCCAGCTATAAAGAGCAGGTAGGCAAAAGCTTTTTTTCTAGTTCCTTTAGCAAGAATGCATGTGACTTAAAAACATAAATGTGTGGTTATGTGTAATTGCAGAGACTGGAAGCACGGATTGCTCTTTTACAAAGTGCCGTGGACGAGTACTACAAGGCCAAGAATGAGTTTTCTGCCAAGGTAAAAAAACACAGAATTTTCTGTTAAACGTTGATAATAAACATGGGAGAGAGTTCAGTGTCTGAGCAGCCAAAACATTAAAGGGGACCTATTATGCACCTTTTTACAAAATATAAATTAAGTCTCTCATGTTTCTAGAGTGTGAAATTGAAGTTTCAGCTCAAAATACCAAAAAAAAAAAAGTTTTATAACTCTTTGAAACTGCCCCTTTTAGGCTTTGATCTCAATTGTGCCGTTTTAGTGACTGTCACTTTAAATTCATATTAGATTTGTGCTTTTTTTCAAAAGAGGGTGGAGCTACAAATGCCTGTGTGTCAGCATAGTGGCAAATTTAAAATCAAAACTAACATCCTATGCTAATGAGGGAGAGATAGTCACTAATGGGCGGGGCTTTCCCCCTCTGATGACATGTACAAAGAAAGAACTGTTTTTAAGAAGTGTGATTATAAAAAATAAAATGATTACATTTTTACTATTCGAAGCTAGTTATATTCACAGTTTATTTCCACACAAGTGTATTTAAACCCTTTATAAAAGTGATTTTCGCACAACAGGTCCACTTTAAATCTGGGTCTTACCAAGCATAATAATAGTCTTTATTGTTTTCTCCTGCCTCAGAGCACAGAAGACGAGATGCGTCTGCTGCGGTTTCAGAGGAAGCTGGAGGAAGAGAAGGGCGAGCCTCTTGTGGGCTTTTCTCTTCATGACACTATGACCACACTGCTGTCTGTGGGACTGCACAAACACGCAGAACAGCTCTACAAAGACTTCAGAGTGCCTGATAAGAGGTGCGTCTTCTACTGATAGTACTAATACTAATAAATTCATATATACACTTTCATATCCCGCTGGCGGTGTTGAGAATCATTAACCACATTCTCTCAGCTTCAGTGGTAACTCTGAGGCCTCTAAAAATAATATCTGCTGTCATTGATGTATTCTGGCTAATCATGAATGTAATCAAAAGTAGTGTAAATAAGATGTAATTTTACTGCCAAACTATCTTTCTATGCATGCAACCCCGAAGGTTACAATTACAAGGTCCCAGATAGTGTGTTTAATATAATATAAGTGTAGCGTATCTTTATAGATAAAGAGTTATGTTTTATTAATATCATGATGATATACAGCTGTCAGAATTATAGGCCCTCCCGAATTATTATCCCCCTTGTATATTTTTTCCCAATTTCCATTTAACGGAAAATAGAATTTTTCTTAACACATTCTAAACATAATATTTTAATAACTCATTTCTAATAACTGATTTGTTTTATCTTTGCAATGATGACAGCACATAATATTTTACTATCTATTTTTCAAGACAGTTAAGTATTCAGTTAAGTGACATTTAAAGGCTTAAATATGTTAATTAGGCCAATTAGGATAATTAGGCAAGTCACTGTATAACAATGGTTTGTTCTGTAGACTATCGAAAAAAATATTGCTTAAAGGGGCTAATAAATTTGACCTAAAATTTTTTGTTTAACTGCTTTTATTCTAGCCAAAATAAAACAAATAAGACTTTCTCCAGAAGAAAAAATATTATAGGAAATACTGTGAGAAATTCCTTGCTCTGTTAAACATCATTTGGGACATAATTTTAAAAAAAAAAATTTACTGGAAGATAAATAATTTTGACTTCAACTGTAATAGCAATGGAGTAGTGAAGATTTTTCTCATCGTCAGGTTCTGGTGGCTAAAGTTGAAGGCTCTTGCTGAGAAGGAGGACTGGGACGAGCTGGAGAAATTTGCCAAAAGCAAAAAGTCTCCTATTGGATATCTGGTAACTGATAATCCGTCTTGAATTACTCTTAGAATGATTGTCGTGAACTAACCTTTCTTTGTCTTTCTTGTATTACAGCCATTCGTAGATGTGTGTATTAAACATCATAACAAATATGAAGCCAGGAAATATGTGTCTAAAGTCACACCCGAGCAGAAGGTCAAAGCTCACCTCGCAGTGGGGTAAGAGTTTATTACAAAAACTGCTAATACAGTATATTACAGAAATATATATTACTGTTGTAGTGATAGAGTGCAATACATTAAAAATGTTTTAGATAACCCATTTACTCTTGTTTTTTTCAAGCAACATTTTAGTAAAATACATTTGTCAGGTTTTAAATACTTAGCCATATACACTCATGTTTCAAAGTTCGGGGTCAATATATTCTTTTATTTTTTTAAGAAATGTATATATTCTGATTTTTGAGTGCCTGAAATTAGTCATCAGAAGTTCTAGTCTTAAAGGGGACCTTTTATGCCCCCTTTTACAAGAGTCCCAAGAGGGTGTATGTGATGTTTCACATTAAAAATATGGCAACTCGACATTTATAATGCCTGTTAGTTGCTGACATTATCTTTGGCACGTATGGTGTGAAAATTCTAACGGTTGACATCTGCTTCTCAGTCAAGGAGAAGGTGCTCGCTGCAGAGCCGCTTGAGTGGAGCATGTTTATATCAGTTTTATATCTTCTAAACCTGAATTTTTTTCACTGTTTTAGAGCACACTAGCTAATAGATATCTTTAAAACTAACAGACTGAAGCTACCATCTTAAAAACTTTATTTTGATTACACGGGACCTTTAACTATTTCAAACATTGGGAGAAAAAAATGTGTAAGCTGTTATATCGACAAAACCTCCAAAAACAAATTTAAAATAGCAAATATGGGGTCGTTTAATAAAGTATATTTAACAAAGCCCAAAACTTATGAACTTTAGTGTATATATGAATGTATAATGTATGAAATGAAGGGATAGTTCACCCAAAAATGAAAATTCACTTGTTATATATTTACTCTGAAGTGCTTTCAACCCTTATGAGCTTCTTTATTCTGTTGAACACTAAATAGGATATTTTGGAGACAACCAAAAACTTGTAACCATTGACCTCCATGGTAAAAAAACTAATTCTATGGATGTAAATGGCAACAGGTTTCCAGATATCTCCAAAATATCTTCTTTTGTGTTCAACAGAAGAAAGAAACTCTTAACAGGTTTGGAACAAGTGAAGGATGAGTAAATGATGACAGAAATTTCAGTTTTGGGTGCAGTATCATGTTAACAGTGTGTCTGTGGGGTCTTAAAAAAGTATTAATTGTTGATAAATCAATTATGAGAAAATTAAGGCCCTTAAAAGGTATTTAAAAATCTTAATCCATTTTTTACGAGGTCTTAAATTTTGTTTAAGGGTTGTCCAAAGTGTTTGACTCCAAAAAGAAGCATAAATCTAGCATAAACATTTATAAATTCCTTCTAATATTAACAACAGAGATGTCACGTAATTTGTGACAAAAGCAGGAAGGTGATGTGATGCTTTCCAGATGTAGCGAATCTATAGAGCAAAACAGACGGGACAATGTAAGTTTGTGTACTCCCGGTTGGACAAAGACGAGTTTAAAGAGTGGCTGAAACTTCAAAACATTCAAAAATTGAATTTTTTTCAAGTTTCGTTTCCTCCAAGCTTATCTGAGTTCTGTCGAATGGTCGTGCTCCAGTGATTTATTTAACTACAACTGTTTATTAAGTTAAAGGTTTAATACTGATTAGATCCTGAAGTGGTGATGAGGTCTTAAAATATTCTGAGAAGGTCTTTAAAAAGTCTTTAAAAGGTTTTGAAATTACCTTTAGCATCCCTGCATATACCCGGTTTAAGATACCACAGAAATATTTCTCTCTCACACAGGGACATGGAAGGTGCTGCAGAGGCTGCTATCGAGAGGCGTAATGACACTGAGATCAGCACAGTTCTCTCACGCTGTTCATCGACCACTGATCATGCTCTTGTGGAACGCCTGAACCGAGCCAGAGCCACGGCTACCAAAAAGTGAGCCTGTACGCTTCTGCCCTGCTCGACTGAGCTGTGCACATTCCTCCAGCAAAAAAGCAACAGAATTTACTTTGAGCTGTGTAAATGACTCCTGGTCGACTGGACGATTTTCACAAAATAAATTCTGCAAAGTGAAGGAAAATGTATTGGGTGGATTCACAGAGAAAAGACGGACAGCAAGAAAACTTGCACGTCAGCAATTTGTGTTTTTTCTGCCTCTGTCAGAGAGCTAAAAGCAGTTCCCATCCTGCGCGTCACTGTAAATTGTTAGGATATAGTTCACCCAAAAATGATTAATTCTTCTGTCGAACACAAGGCAATATATTTCGAAGAAAGCTGAACACTTGTAATCACTGACCTCCATGGTAGGAAAAACAAATACTATGGAAGTCAGTTGTTACAACATTTCAGCTTTTTTTCAAAATATCTTCCTTTGTGTTTAACAGAAGAAATAGGCTCATTAAGGTTTATAACCACTGAAGGATAAACTAAATGTTCATTTTTGGGTAAATTATCCCTTAAAAACTCTTTGTACCTATAATTGTATTATGAGCTGATGTGTGTTTGTTGTAGAATCATACTGTAATCGATCATATGCTGTGTTCTGACAAAGTAACACTTGTTATTTTAATTAAACCACGGTTGGATACAGAAAAAGTCTGCATGTGTTTATGTGACAATTTTTTTTTCAAACAATCACGCTTTCCTGTCATGCTCGGGTATTGTGAGACTGGGGTCAAACTCCTCTCGGTTGTACTTTTATCCTCATTTCTTTGGGTGTATTTATATTTGTGACCACCAAGGGCGCTCTTTTGCATTCTTGCTTGCATTATCCTCCACACACACACCACGGTTGCAGAGAGGAACTTTGCAAAGTTTTTAACTTTTTGCACGGATATCGACCAGAGAGGAAAATAGGATAAACATTTAAAAAGGTAAAACCACACAAACTCTTGATTTGTAGGCAGCACGACTCCCAGCACAGAAATATCCATGACTGACTGACTCTTTATCACGTGATTGTTGTAGTTCAGTGCTTCCAGAGGACTGAGCACAAAATATGCTGATTTTTCTTGTTTTGGTTGTTTCCTTTAACGTTAGTTGATGTAACTTCGCTTATCAGAAATTAATCCTATGCATTATTCCAGGCTTCTGCGTTTCAGTGTAATTTTAATGACAGACTATGACACGAGCATGTTACGCAATGATAAAATGATTGAACAATAATATGTAACAGACATGCTGCTTGCAATTGTGTTTGTAGTTTCATTTGACGTTTGAATTGAGTCATATAGTATTAACAATTATTGTCGTTAATTAACAAAGACTAGAATAGCCTTTATACTGACTTAACTTATTTTGATTTACCATTGAACTTATTAGCTCAGGACTGAATGGGGGTTGGTGGAGTACTGTATTAGTGTTTTTATCAAAACCAAATCTTCTCAAATTAAACTGTCACTAATAAAACATAATTTTGCAAAGGAAAGTAATTGTATTGTACTATCAGTCATACGTAAGCAAGTTTTGTTTAACCGATGGCGAGAGTTTGAGGCGTGACTGTGTGTGTGGTCGACCAATAGCAAGCTGCATGGCACAGTTTTTTAGGGAAACCGGTTTGACAACAAGCTGTCAGTTCTTTAAATTGATGACATCCATTCAAAAGAGATACATATTATATTGATGATGATGATGCTACATTTTAGAATGTAATGTGACGTCACGTGTGGTCATTTCAAAGTTTCTGCAATTAAGATCAGGCAAGAATGCAGTAAAGTATTTCATTATTCAATTTGGTGCATGATTAAGAAATTTTTAAAAAGTTCCTAAAAGCAAAGAAGATCAATGTACCCCGGGATTTGGCCAGCCCAGTCAACAGGAATGAACATTATTGAGCATGCCTGGGCTAAGCTGGAGGAGGCATTAAAGATGAATCCAAAGAATCTTGATGAACTCTGGGAGTCCTGCAAGAACACTTTCTTTGCCATTCCAGATGACTTTATTGATTAGTTATTTGAGTCATTGCAGAGATGCATGGATGCAGTCCTCCAAGCTCATGGGAGTCAGACACAGCGTTAATTTTCTTTCCACTGCAGCTTGACTATATATTCTATATACTGTACATTATTTCTGTTAGGTGACAAGACTTTTGTCTAAGTAAAGTCAGACTTAAAAATCAAGGCATGATCATATTTTATTTTGGTAAAATAAGCATAATCTAGAGGCCTTTGCCTTTCATATGAGCATTTTCTGATACTAAATCCTCTACTTGAAGTCAAGTTATTATTTGTTGTTCCTAAAACTTAGATAGATAAATAGATTTTTGTTATTTAATATAATAATTGTATCACAGTGTTTTACCCTTATAGTGAAATAATAATGAAAATAATTTTATTTCTCCTTGAAATCTGAAAGTGTGAGGATTGGTATGTGCCTAGAATTAATTTTGTGCTTAAATCCAACCCAGATATACTGTATCAAAAACTATATACTGCGTGGAAATTAAGTATTGAACACTTCAGTTTTTTGGGGGGGGGATAATATCTCTAACGGAGCTGTTAATCTGCAATTGAACCAGATTTTGGTTAAAAACTCAAACAATACAAACATAAAAGTAAAACAAAACAAACAAATTCAGAAAATTGTGTTACGTGTAATAGCAATCAAATGACACAAGGAGAAAGTATTGAACTACTGAAATGTATTTAGAACTTAATATAAAAGGCTTTTTGGTGATGGCAGCTTAAAGACGCCTCTCATATGGAGAATGAAGTAACATGAATTGCTCAGGTGTGAGTTTTTTAACAGACTTCAACAGAGTGTGAAAATCTTGATGGTTCTGTGGGTGTCTTCTATCAAATCTGATCTTTATTTTTCATTTACTAATGGATTCAAGTCAGGTGATCGGCTGGGCCATTCTACAGCTTGATTTCCTTTCTCTGAACGCATTTGAGAGTTTCCTTGGCTGTGTTTTGGATCATTGTCTTGATAAAATGTCCACCCTGGTTTCATCTTCATCATCCTTCTAATGTAGATGTTGGACTCAAGCAGCTAATATAAATTTACCCTGACGGAGGCCAGACGGTTGCTGAAGAACTACTTAGAGATTTCAGCTGCTGTCTGGGCTTTCACTGCTTTTCCAAAGCTTCCTTCATGTGTTCAATACTTTTTCCCTGCATCATTTCAATTTATTACGCATAACTTAATTTGTAAACTAAATAAATTTGTTTTATCTGCATATATGGATTTCTTTGGTTGTTACTAACATCTGGGGAAAATTTCAAGTCAATAACACCTTTAGAAATATGTTTTCTGGGAAAATGGTGACAGGTTCATTACTTTCAATACTTCACTTCTTTTTCTGTACCATGATGATTTGTACTTCTTTCTTTTTTTTGTCTAAGTTTATTTCAGGACATCATCATACCCTTACATGAACTATACTTGTGTGCTTTAGGTCATGTCATCAATAAAAGTCGAGTGTGTTATCAAAGAAAAGAATGAAGTCGGTGAGAGTCCAGTCTGGGAGGAGAAGGACTCCTCTTTGCTGTACGTTGATATCACAGGTCAAAAGGTCAGCCGATGGAGCTCCCTGACCAAACAAATAGAGAGTATGAACACAGGTAAGCCAGGAAACATGTTTAGTGGGAGCATCCTTTTGTATTTTAGAAAAAAGTGAATGAAGTGGTTAGCACAGGAGTTACAATATCAAATCACAATACATTTGATGCACATTTTTGCATATTCTTTGCAATGACATACTCCATTTTTTCCAATGCTTGCGACAATGCATTGTCTTAATTTTGAGTCTTTGCATACTGTGTATTTCCTTTGCAATTCCTATCCATTGGGCTCTTGTTGGATGATCAACCTGAAACCATTTCGTGTTATGCCATTTCTCCCACTTGTTGAATCTATGCCACGAAGGATTAAGGCAGTTCTGAAGGCAAAACGGGGTCAAACCCGGTACTAGTTAGGTGTACCTAATAAAGTGGCCGGTGAGTGTAATTCTTCAGTTATCTTTTTTTTTTTTTTTTCAATCGCTATTTTGTACGAAAAAGTCTTTCATTTTTTTTTATATTTTGCAATGTGGCAATGATTAGCCATTGGGGTTCCACACTGTCTCCAACAAGAGCCCAGACTTTCTTTTCCCTTTCAATAAAAGTATCTTAATAAAAACAGTTTAAAAAAAACAGTCAATAATAAACAGTGCTGCTGATGAATTCAAGTATCTTCTTTTTAAACAGAGAAACTGGTCGGCTGTGTGGTTCCACGGCAGGCTGGGGGTTACGTCATCGCGGAGGGAACTCGATTCACATTTGTTGACTGGGTAAAGCGGTCGATTACAGCTGTTGCCGAAGTTAATGAGAAACCAAACACCCGCTTCAACGATGGAAAAGTAGATCCAGCTGGCAGGTTTTTTGCAGGTACTGCGGGAGAAAATCATGTTACCATGAGCATATTGTCACTGCATATGCATTTTTATATTGTCTGCTGATCATCAAATAGTTTCTAACAGACACTAAAAGGACAGTGCATCTAAAAATGAACATTTATTTAGTGTTTAGATTCATAAGAACTTATTCTATCATTAGAACATCATTATATCCATAGTTACCACTGGATTTGTTTTGTTTTGCCTGCTTGTGCTATTTTTTCGACTCTCATTACATTTTCTAAATCTCAAACTAAAATCTGTATGAAAACAAAAGTTACAATGTTTATTTGCTAGTGGACATTTTTTGTTGAACAATTTATTTATGCAAATTAATCCACTAAAAAAAAGGTTTCGGTAATCAAATCAAACCCAATCAGAGTCTGACCATTTGCATTGGTGGTTATTATTTTTTGACGGCTTCAGCCACAATATTCTTAACCACGCCCCTCTTACCATTAGTTTGCTACTAGGGAGTGAAGCACAAAAAGAAAGCTCCTCCCCTTCTCAATATTTAGTTTTAGTTGGAAGTACATCAACATACTGGAATAGTAGTCTCAGAAACTTTTGGTTCAAGTGAATTAGATTAAACCATTAGCATTACGGAAAAAATATAAATCTAATTTTGATAATTTTCTTATTTAAAGCTTAATTCTTTTCATTCACCCCTATATTAATATAAAAATTTGTAATTATATATGAATATGACAGGATCACTGTGTTATGAACAGTGAGGACCAAGCAACATCTCCAGGGCCTTTGAGAACCAGATCAAAAAAGTGCAATGTGCACTTCGGTCTATAGTATGGAAGTTTTTTTCCTAACAAAATTAAAATGAAAATTCAAATGCTTAAAAGATCAAATGATAAATCAAATGCTCAAACCGACATCGCAAACGATGAATCAAATCCTCAAACCGACTCCGCAAAAAGTGAATCAAATGCTCAAACTATTAATCAAATCCTCAAACTGACATTGCAAATGATGAATCAAATCCACAAGCTGACTCTGCAAATGGTGAATCAAATGCTTAAACGACTCTGCAAATGGTGAATCAAATCCTCAAACGATTCCGCAAATGATGAATCAAATCCTCAAACTGACATCACAATTGGTGAATCAAATCTTTAAATCGACTCCGCAAATGGTGAATCAAATCCTCAAACTGACATCGCAAATGATAAATCAAATGCAAATGAGGTGTCAATCAACTAGCCTAGGCGGAGCTTTAAGGCGGAAGAGTTTGTTGACAATTTTTACACAAAAAAAACAAAAAGCTGCAGCTATTTTATTTTTGTTAAAACAGCTTGGCTAAATTGCTGACAAAATTTGTTTTTATTTCTATATTTGTTTTACTTTTTTTAAATGGCTGCCAGCAAATGCTGAGTGTTTATAAATAAATAATATTTTGATAGAAAAAAATTATGGTGTATTATCGATTTTGTATCGGTATTGTGATATTTAATTTAGGTATCGTATCGAAGTCAAAATGTTGATATTGTGCAACACTACAGTTGAATGCATTAAAAAATGGTAAAACTCAACTGTTTAACTTTAGGTGATTTGTAAAATGAGCTTAATTCACAAAAGAATGTGGAGTGTTTCTTTAACATAGTAAATATTCCAATTGAATTATTCCAGTGTGGACACTCCCACTTCTGCTTTACTTCATGCAGGTACCATGTCTATGGACATGAAGCCCGATGTGGTGGATGCAGCCCTGTACAACCTTCAACCTGACCACTCTGTTGTCCGCCATTTTGACCAAGTGCACCTCTCCAATGGTTTGGACTGGTCTCTGGACCATCGTGTCTTCTACTACATCGACAGTCTGGCGTTCATGGTGGAGGCCTTCGACTATGACATCCAAACTGGAGGATTGTGTGAGTGTTTTGCATTTGACTCTGGTCCTAAAGGGGGCCTATTATGCAAAAATCACTTTTATAAGGGGTTTAGACACAGTTATGTGGGAACAGTGTGTGAATATAGCCAGACTCTAATGATAAAAAATAATTCATTCTATTTTTTATAATCACACTTCATGAAAACAGTTAGCAGAAACACTTTGATTGACAGTCTCCCTTTGTACGTGTCATCAGAGGGGAAAGCCCCGCCCATTAGTGATAATCTCTCTCTCATTAGAATAAACAGCCCTGAGTGAGAAGCAGCCGTCTACCATTTGAGTTTTTATTTGCCAAAGATAATGTTAATGACTGTGACATTTTAAATGTCGAGTTTTAGCATGTGTTTGTAGCTCCACCCTCTTTTTAAAATAAGGTTGGGATCACAATCTCATTTAAATTTAAAGCAACAGTTAACAAAACAGCACAATTTGGTTTCAAGGCTAAAAGTGGTAGTTTCAAAGAGTTGTAAAACATTCGTTGTGCTGTACTTTGAGCTGAAACTTCACATAAACTCTCTAGGGACATAAGAGACTAATTTTAGATCTTGTAAAAAAGGGGCATAACAGGTCCCCTTTGTTTGTTTTTAAGCTAACCGCAGGACGGTTTACAAGATGGAGAAGGATGAAGGCATACCAGACGGTATGTGCATAGACACAGAAGGCAAGCTGTGGGTCGCCTGCTTCAATGGAGGAAGAGTGTTGCGGATCGACCCTCAAACAGGTGAGTGAGTTTGTAAGTGTTTTTATATATGAAAATTAATAACACAATGTAGTGCAGATAAAGCAATTCAATTTGACCACAAAACCAATCATAGGTGTCAATTTTATACAATTAGAACTTACACCTGAATATACGCTACCTAACAATTAACGATTATTGTCGTCGATCCCAGTTATAAGAGCAACAAATAATAGCTTGACTTCTAGATGATTATTTGGAAAAGGAAAAATTTTCTGATGAATCATGTGTTGAACTGCATCCCAATCATCACAAATACTGCAGAAGACCTACTGGAACCAGCATGAACCCAAGATTCTCACAGAAATCAGACAAGTTTGGTGATGGAAAATCATGGTTTGGGGTTACATTCAGTATGGGGGCGTGTGGGAGATCTGAAGAGCCTGAGGTATCAATATATTTGTGCTGCCCTTTACATTACACACCACAAAAAAGGGCAAATTATTCAGCAGGATAGCGCTCCTTCTCATACTTCAGCCTCCACATTAAAGTTCCTGAAAGTAAAGAAGATCAAAGTACTCCAGGATTGGCCAGCCCAATCATCAGATATAAACATTATTGAGTTTGTCTGGGGTAAGATGGAGGAGGCGGCATTGAAGATGAATCCAAAGTATCTTGATGAACTCTGGGAGTCCTGCAAGAACACTTTCTTTGCCATTCCAGATGACTTTATTAATAAGTTATTTGAGTCATTGCAGAGGTGTATGGATGCAGTCCTCCAAGGTCATGGGAGTCAGACACAATATTAATTCTTTTTCCACTGCACCATGACTATATGTTTAACTGTACATTACTTATGTTAAGTGACAAGTGTCTAAGCAAAGTCAGACCTTACTGTACTAATTAAATCATTAAAAAAATCAAGGCATGATCATATTTTATTTTGGTAAGCAGCGTGTTCTAGAGGCCTTTGCCTTTCATATAAGCCACTTCTGATACCAAATGATCAACTAGAAGTCATTTGTTGTTCCTGAAACTGAACAGGTAGTGCATAAGCTTTTCATTGGTGTATGTTTTGTTCAGATTGGACACTATTTGGCCGAGATACTTTTGTTTTAACATCTGGAATCTGAAAGTTGAAAAAATCTAAATATTGAGAAAATCACCTTTTAAATTTGTCTAAATCTAGAGCTTAGCAATGCATAATATTAATCGAATATTGAGTTTTAATATATCTACAGTAGATATAATGATTTTAGGTATAAAAGAAAAAAATTGATAATTGTGACCCATACAGAGTATTTTTAGCAGTTTCCAAAAACATACTCATCTAACATTGTTTGATCGTTAGAGTTTAATACATTTTTCATTTTTACAGTTGTATAGATAATTATAAGTGGTTTAGCGAATCACAAAACTTGTGCTTCAAATCACATTTCACATCACAAAAAAGGAGGATGCATACATACTTTTTACTTAAGTATGCTTATGTCTTTAACATATATGATCTATAGAACATATATATTGAGCAAAAATAAATTCAACACATAAATTGTTTGAAAAAATGCTAAATATTCTATTATTAATAATAATTACCATATGAATAAACACAATCATTCCTTGTTGTTCTTTATCTTTGATATAATGTTTAGTCAAATTAATACAAAATAAGAAAGTCAAGAGTTCAATAAAATGTTATGATTTCTTTTCAAAGTAAAAAATAAAGAAAAAAAAAACAATCCAAATTGGTGAATGATTTCCGCTTTTTCTATTTTTTTTACATTAAAAATAACAGTCAACATCCCACATACAATTTTTCTGATTTACTAACAAATCAACTGAAACAGCTCAACTAAAAGACTGATCTTGAGATCTAAGAATTTGTATCAATTCATTAAAATAAAGAAAAGACCAGAAGTTTCCAATTAAGTCTGTTAGCAGAATGGAAAGATGGAAATGTCAGGATGAATGCATGTCACATTGCACCCCTAGTAATTAATGAACTTCCTCTTTCAGGCAAGCGTCTGCAAACAGTGAAGCTTCCAGCAGAGAGAATCACTTCATGCTGTTTTGGAGGGAAAGACTACAGTGATCTGTACATCACCTCAGCATATATAGGCATGGATGCAGAAGCACTGGCTAAACAACCTGAGGCTGGTTGCACATTTAAGGTAGATCATTTATTTCATATCTTAAAGCAGAATCACCTATCATGCATAATGAAGCATTATATGCCGTTTTCTTATTCCAGGTGACTGGTTTAGGGGTTAAAGGAATCCCACCATACTCATACACTGGATAAAAAACCAGGGGGAAGTGATGAATTGTGATCGTTTTGCAGTTTTTTGGTTCTAAATCAATGTTCTAATATATATATATATATATATTTTTTTTTTTTAATTCATAACTCTGATAATTCAGATAAGTTTTAGACATTAGTTTGTCTAGATGACTAAAAATCAGAAATGTAATTTTATGTGAAAGCATTCTCTGCATTTTTAATTATGTTTACATTAACTGCACTCAGAGTGATCTGTGAATTTTTAGACATTTTTTAAATAATTGCTAGTGATGACAGGCAATTTTACTACACTTGGCATATGTAATGTATGTTAAACATACAATGTAATTGCAAAAAATGATTGAAATATTAAACGTTTGCAAAACAAAATATTTAAAGAAAAGAAAGATGATTGTTTAGGGTGAAACAGTGATTGTGGTTTGCTTAATGTTGACTTTGAGAACACTAAGTAAACCTGGTGCAAAGTTTGAATGCTTTCATTTATTTTGTTTGTTGTCTTTCAACACAAGCTGAAAAATAGGAAAAAGTCACTCATCCAGCAAAAAAAACTGACAAACTGCACACTTTTATACTAAATACAGTACAAGACAAACAATAGAGAAAGATGCAAAAAAACAAAAAAAGTTGAATACCTTTGATAATATGCATTCCTTTACAGTTTAATGTTAGAAAAAGATCCTTGCATCATTCATTCAATCATTTTCCTTCGACTTAGTCCTTCTATTTCAGAGGTTGTCTCAGTGGAATGATCCGCCAACTTATCCAGCATATGTTTTACATAGCGGATGCCCTACCAGCTGCAACCCAGTGCTGGGAAACATCCATACACGTTTATCCACACACATACACTACGGCCAATTTATCTTATTTAATTCACCTACAGCGCATGTCTTTGGACTTGTGGGGGAAACTGGAGCACCCGGCGGAAACCACCGGAAACACGGGGAGAACATGCGAACTCCACACGGAAATGCCAACTGACCCAGCCAGGGCTTAAACCAGTGACCTTCTTGCTGTGAGGCGACAGTGCTAACCACTAAGCCACCGTGCCACCATCATAATCACTTTGTTGTTAATTCATACTGTTCATAAAGGGTCCTTTTGCATATTATTTTACATTTTCTAAAGAAGAGTTTGTTTGCCCATGCTGCAAACTGGCAACGGTTGCTACATTTAAAAAAAACTGTGCTAAAGGAAGTGCATTAGCTGAGTTGGCGAGATTTACAAAAACTGTTTGTCAAGGGTGAAGCAGTTTAGATTGGATAAAAAAAAAAAGCCAAATAAGGGGTTTTACAAGAGAGTTAAAAATAGAAATAGTCTTTTGATTTGTTTACCAAGGCAGTATTTATATGTAAAAAACATTCATTTTAATGTTGAAAACAGTTGCACTGCTTATTGCCTATGGAAACCATAGACTCAGGATGAGGATTTTAAAAAACATTTATTTAGAATGACTTGTTTTTGCTATTTTGTTGGGATATTCTTAAAGTAAAAATAACAGTAACAGGGTTGTGCTTATTCTCTTAATGAGTTCTGGGTGTGTTTTGAGCATAATGTGTATTAAACCAATTAGAGTCTCATCTCTCATTCCCTTTAAGAGTCAGTTGCACTGCACAATGGCGCATTTGCTATCTACATGGCCGACTTTTTAAGTGGAAAAACTGAACGCTTAACAGACCATCTGCAGCACGAGGATGAAGAATGAGCCTCCTCCATTCGGCCTCTTTACTTTTACTCTTTACTCCTTTACTTTTGAGAAGTAAGGAAACGGTGGAAACTCACTCCACTGAAGACATCCATTAGCCTGCATATTTAATTTTGTTTGATAAGTGCAAAGAGTTGTTTCAAAACTATTTCCAAATTCAGTTCTAATTTCCAGCAAATTAATAAATGAACAATAATAACGAAGTGTGGTCAAAGTTACATCCACACACACGTCCTATTCTTATGACCCATGTGGTGATGCATAGGTCTGCAAAACCCGACAGGTGGACCAACCTAAACTTGCTTTTTTAAAACAAATATAAATATGCATATGATAAATAATACTGCTAATAATAATAACATTATACACATGCAAATTGTCATCAATAAACTGAAAAAGGCCCCCATGAGGTGAAGGTATGGAGGCAGTGGTTTTTATATTTATGTAGAAAATAGTAATTGTAACATTTTAATCTTTTAAAAACATTTTTTTTTCATTTTTTAATATATTTGTGTATTGATGTACAGTCTGTGTGTATAAAGCAATGTGTGTGTGTGTGTTTTGGACCTGCATAGGCGCATAACTAACGCTGTGCTAGACTTTAGAGCAGCTTTTAGTTGGTCAATGTCGCAGTCTATTTAAATTTCTCAACATAGCAATGCGCCTCAACACGCCTCCTTTTTAGACCAGCACACCCATGAGTCCACAAAGTGGTGCAAATGGATTTGCTATTTAAACAACGTGGCACCAAACACGTCTTTCACCTTATTGTGCCTGGTGTATGATAGGGCCCTATGTTTTATGCTGCATTTCGAAAAATTGATTAGTTGACTTGGCTTTTAAAATGAGAAAACCTACTGCTTTAAAAGCGGTTTGTTGACTTCTAAAAAGTGAGTAAACGCATTACGCATTTCATCAAAATTGTTCAATTAACCATGTGCATAATTTTAAAAACTAACTTCCGAGTTTAAAAAAGTGAGTGAACTCTTTGTAAGAAAATCAACTTGTCACTTTTTAGGGCTACAATTTCATTAGCTAATTGCTTTTTGCAGTGACAGAGCACATTTAGAACTTCTGGGCCACAGCTGTATCCCTTCAAGCAAAGATCCTTATTCAAACAGACTTTTACGGTTCAGTCGCTTATAGAAATTTAGTTCTGTTTTTTTTTTTTTTTTTTTTTTTTTTTTTTTTTACATTGTTGGCTGTATACCATGGAGCATTGCTCATTACATTTTTTGTATTAAGTTTGGAATGTCAGGAATTACAGTGAGGCAGCTTCCAGCAATAGAGACAATGGAGCAGATTAGATCACTTACCCCATCCAAAAAACACACCCCCATCCATGGCCCCATTCAGTGTTGGCGTGGTCTAAATGTGCTGTGTCTCTAAAAGTAGAGGAACTGAAAGAAAACTACGGAGTTACTCATTGAATATGAAGCACTTTGTAATGACCTGACGAGAGGGCGTTGCCTAAACATTTAAAATTGACGCAAACTAAAGTGACTGTTACACATAAAAAGGACACAAACGTTTGCATTCAGTCAATAAGCAGACGCTTTTCTCCAAAGCGACTTACAATTGAGGAGCAATTCAACAAGAACAGGTATGATCATATTTATCCTAAAGCTCTGCTTTGATAGCTTTAAACCACAAATGTTCAGTTGAAAAATTCATAGTCAAGTTTAAAACTTGTATTTTTATCTTTAAGCATTTCTATAAGCAGCTTATGATGCTTTTTTTCCTAAGCTACAAGGAGGATCATTAAACATCTGAAAGAACAGAAGAATGGCTGAAGCGGAAGGTCTTGCTGACTGGATGTCCAAATTGAATGAGACATTCACAACAGTCCCCTTGAGCCATATTGCAATTCCAGGTATGCAGTAGTAACTATAGCTAAAGCAATAGTACAGAACTGGCAGATTTTAAAGTCAGAATGAAATTTAAAATGTACTCTTATAATTTTTATTTTTTAAAAGGGCGGGGCTATCAGGGCGTGTCTCATTTTTGCCCTGCTTTTTTTGTCCATTCATCAATATTTTCATTTTGTTGTTGTTTTCAAACGACCCAATCAGTTCCCAAAAGACAAAATCAAGCATTGATTTGACACAAAATGGGAAGAAAATTACTATTTTAATTTCCATTTCATGGCAACTTTAATAACAATAGATTAATTCACTGCCATTTATACAGTGCATCCGGAAAGTATTCATAGCGCTGCACTTTTTCCACTTTTTTTTTATTACGGTCTTCTTCCTCAAAATTCTACACGCAAAATCCCATAATGACAATGTGAAAAAAAGATTTTTTGAAATTGTTGCAAATTTATTAAAAATAAAAAACCTGAAAAATCACATTTACAGCCTTTGCTCAATACTTTGTTGATGCACCTTTGGCAGCAATTACAGCCTCAAGTCTTTTGAATATGATGCCACAAGCTTGGCACACTCACACTTGAGGCACACTCATCAGATTGGATGGAAAGCGACGGTGTACAGCCATTTTCAGATCTCTCCAGAGATGTTCAACAGGATTTAGGTCTGGGCTCTGGCTGAGCCAGTCAAGGACATTCACCGAGTTGCTGTGAAGCCACTCCATTGATATTTTGGCGGTGTGCTTTGGGTCATTGTCTTGCTGGAAGATGAACCGTCGCCCCAGTCTGAGGTCAAGAGCACTCTGAAGCAGGTTTTTATTCAGAATGTCTCTGTACATTGCTGCATTTATCTTTCCCTCTATCCTGACTAGTCTTCAGTTCCTGCTGCAGAAAAACATCCCCACAGCATGATGCTGCCACCACCATGCTTTACTGTAGTGATGGTATTAGCCTGGTGATGAGCGGTGCCTGGTTGTCTCCAAACGTAACGCCTGGCATTCACTCCAAAGAGTTCAATTTTAGTCTCATCAGAACAGAGAATTTTGCTTCTTATGGTCTGAGAGTCCTTCAGATGCCTTTTTGGCAAATTCCAGGAGCGGAGTGGCTTTCGTCTGGCCATTCTCCCATACAGGCCTGACTGGTGAATTGCTGCACAGATGTTTGTCCTTCTGTAAGGTTCTCCTCTCTCCACAGAAGATTGATGGAGTTCAGACAGAGTGACTATCCGGTTATTGATCACCTCCCTGACTAAAGCCCTTTTCCCCCATCACTCAGCTTCTTCAAACATCTTCCCCTCACGGATGATGGAGGCCACTGTGCTTATTTGAACTTTCAGAGCAGCAGAAATGTTTCTGTATCCTTCCCCAGCTGTGTGCCTCGAGACAATCCCGTCTCTGCGGTCTACAGACAGTTCCTTTGTCTTCATGCTTGGTTTGTGCTTTGACATGCACTGTCAACCCTGGGACCTTATATAGACAGGTGTATGCCTTTACAAATCATGTCCAATCAACTGATTTAACCACTGGTGAACTCCAAATAAGCTGCTGAAACATCTCAAGAATGATCAGTGGAAACAGAATGTACCTGAGCTCCATTTAGAGCTTCACAGCAAAGGCTGTGAATACTTATGCACATGTGATTTTTCAGGGGGTTTATTTTTACTGAATTTGCAGCTATTTCAAAAAAAAAATTTTTTCACATTGTCATTATGGGGTATTGTGTGTAGACTGTTGAGGAAATAAATGAATTTATTTTGGAATAAAACTAGCATAAAAAATGTGGAAAAAGTGAAGCGCTATGAATACTTTCCAGATGCACTGTACATTTGGCTGACATTTGTATATAAACCAACCTTTATAGTAAGATTAACAAACTGTTACACACATATTAAAGCTTTACATCTTCTATAGAAAAAATTAACTGTATACATTAGAGTTTAGATTCTCTGCCCGAGCCCAGACTTACTTCCTGCCACTATCTTCGGGCCGAGCCGTGATCAAGCATTTGTGCAATTTTTTTTCAGTCATTACTTAATTAGCCTAATTGGGTAGAAAGCTTTGCAATTAGAAATATGATACGAATATTTTAGCAAAGTTGGCCTACACAACACGTGTGGGTCTACAAAGTTGCACAATTCGCAACGCTCTCCTGCAACAGTGTCTCCTCCACTGCCACACATTTACACCGCAAACGCAAGGAGAGCTAAAGCTGCATGTAGAGCAGAAACAGTGCATAAAAATCAGTGGATATTGTCAATGCATATATTGGGTAAAATTAATAATTGTTACTGTCATTCAATGTGGTTTGGCATGAACAACGGAAAAAATCAATCCAGCACTGAAATTATTGTGGCAATGCTGCTTTAGCTTTGCTCACGATCTGCACTGACGCACTGCTTCTGTGTGCGGTATGAAAGCTCTAATATTTATCAGTTAACATGGATGTTGAAAAAAAAAAAAAAACATGCTCTACTCGCGCGTGCGGTGTGAAGGAGGCATAAAAACGAGGAGTTCCACAATGAACAGACACATGAAGCAGGCTTGCCATGGCAGAAAAAAGGATGATATCCATTCTGAATAAACAAACAATGCCGTTTACATGCTTTGTCTATCTTACATCATTCATTAAGATAATATAAACTAATATCTGTAGTTCAAACTTAGAATTTTAGTTGAGAATGTCTGTCATAACAGCTCACGTATTAAAAAATAGTCAGGTTTAAATCAGGCTCATAATTACAGTTAATGTGTCGAACCAGGCCAGACTTGTAAACAAGACGCACGGGTTCGGGTAGGGTCAGGTTTCATTGTATGGACCCAATCTAAGCTCTACACTCTGTGACTCTAGAAATTAGACAAAAATTGATACAAAACACATTTCTTTTAGGTAGCCACGATGCTATGGCCTACAGCTTAGACATGGACTCTCCAGTCCTGGAACCTGACAGTCTCAAACCTATGGACAACATGTTCAGTGCATTCTTAAGGCCCATTGTCAAGAAATGGGGCACCGCTCAGGTAAAATATCTATCAAAATACAATAATCGCACAGTCAATGATGATGAATCCATGATCCAGTCTTTGTGTTTATGTTTTCAATTAATCATCCAGGATAAAACCATCTCTGAGCAGCTTGATGCTGGTACGCGCTATTTTGATCTGCGGGTTGCTGGAAAGCCTGAATCCAGCGATTTCTTCTTCTATCATGGATTGTACACAACGATGACTGTGAAGGTTGTTGACCTGATTCAGTTTTTTGTTATTTAAATGAATTGAATTCAACAGGCTTACAAAAGGCTGCATTAATCATATATTAAAGTTATAGTTCACCCAAAAATATTTATTCTGTCATCGTTTACTCACTCTTTACTTGTTTCTTTCTTGAACACGAGAAGATATTATGAAGACCTCCATAGTCAGGGGCGCTAGGGGCTAGGAGGGTTGGGAGAAAGCTAGGACGATTTTAAATGGTCACGAAACACCAAAATGATGTTGACAGTCATATATGTGTCCCACGCTGCTAAAACACTATTAGGACACATATTTCACAAAGTGAAGTTTATGTATAAACTAATTTTGAGAGGAAAAAAAGGTGTTTACAGCCTGGTACAAAGAACGATTTTGGTTCATACAGCTAATATTACTCTTCATGACAACTGTGATGGGGGTGATTTTTTTTTTTTATAACTCATCAGTTTCCTTTCTATTAGGTTTTATTAAGTTTGCATAATTAAGGGCGTGGCCACTTGATTGACAGTTAGATCTCGCTGGTCGCCGTCACGTCACCTCAGCTGACTCCGGCAGATTAGCCACTGAACTCTGCATATTCATCGTATTTCTATTTTGTTATATGTGGCTTTACACAGTTGCCTTTTGGGATTATTTCCTACAATTAACAGATGATACGGCATGCTCTGTGCACTTAATTATGCTCACAAACCATTCACGTGGCCTCCATTTCCCATCTGAGTAAAGTTATATGCTTGTAAACCATCTCTATTGATGCATTTGTTTTATTTAATATCATTTATAATGTTCTTTAGAGCTGTTATGCACTCTAGAATCTGACAGATTGATTAGCTGTAGGCTCTAGATCAGTCATCTGAAGTGTTATCATACAGTGTTATGCTGGATTTCCTTGTATTTACTAACACACAGATTATATTTTAAGTGTTTGGAAGTCAAAATATATCGTATTTTAAATTTGCTAAAATGTAGACAGTGTTCTCTAGTGGATTTGTCCTCTGAAACATGCACTGAAATGTACCTGGAGAAACGTATTTGATGTTTTGCAAAAAATGCAGGCTGAGGCAGATATTTCCAATGAGCCTGGGTTATGCAGTTATTTGTAATTGTATATATTGTAAAAATGTATCATTATTCAAGAATTAATTCAATCAAAAATGACATTTTCTTGGAAAAAAACATCAGTCAATAGATATTTGCATATATACAAATATACAATATTTTAACTTTAATAGCATTTATTTCTGAATTCTGCAATAAAATGCGAAACTTATTGACTTTAAATCTCCACAGGAGGCAATGACAGAACTGAAGACATGGTTAGGACAGCACTCTAAGGAGGTCGTCATCCTTGCTTTCTCACATTTCAAGGAAATGTCAGCCGATCAACACACAGACCTGACCAACTTCCTCAAAGAGCACTTCAAAACCAAACTCTGTCCTAAGGCTAAAATGGTACGTACTGTACTGTAATCGTCTATGATAACTTCACATCCTTCACTCCTTAGCTTTTTGTAGAAGTCCTTCAGTCGATGTTTTAACCATTAAAACATTTTTCAACTTTTCCCTTTTTATAAAGCCTTCAATGAAGGACTGCTGGGAAAGTAGCTATCAGGTTATCCTCTCTTATGATGACAGAAATATTGAGGATCCTGTTTTGTGGCCTCGAATCGGGTACTGGTGGGCTAATAATTCAGACCCCAATGAGGTCATTTCATTCCTCGATAACAAGAAACAGACAGGCAGACCAGGTGAGTTTGAATGGCTTAAACAATTCACTTTCACCTAAAAGCCTATTTCAGGGGTGTTCAATCTTGCTCCTGGAGGACTAAAGTCATATTATAACAACACATGACGTGACAAGATTCCAGTGACAGGAAATTTGTCTGCACCAGATGTGACATGACATTTAATCACCAGAGCCATTCCAACACTATCTAACGGGCATTCGTCACTATTTGATTTTGTGGCAAATTTATATGAATTTGTACGATCCAATTCATACAATTTAGTAGGATTCGCTTATCCCACAATGATGAGTGGGTTTAGGAGTGGGGTTTGGTGCCATGCCTTCTTTTAAAATCTTACAAAATGATCATGAATTCATCACTAAACTGACAAAACGTAAAACTGTTATGTTTCCTCGTGAGATCAGGCTGGCCATTCAGAAGTGCCAAATAGTGGACTGCAATTCCAACAAAAAAGATATATAATCTAATTAAGTAAGGGATAAAGTACATGCAGCCAGTTGTTATTGTGGAATAAATCCAGATAAGAAAATTAAACTTACTTACAGTAATGCCTCCTTTCCACTGAGTGGTTCGGTACGGGTCACCTTTATCAGTGTTATGTCTCTGCTGCCCAATGTTACCAATTTAGGCCTTGTTTGGGTTTATAAACGATACAAAACATATACAGTCAGTACAAACCTCTCATTTTTATTCTTCACCAGCACATGCAACGATAGCATCTTGTTAAAGGCTAATTCCATCATTCCGAATTCATAATAGTCCAGAAGGTAATGATAATAATTAAACATGGCAGTTTGTTCATGTTTTAGTTTGCTGAAAGAATCATTTGCTCCTTTGTTTTTTCAGGTTTCTCCTTTGTTTTTTCACGATTGCCTCTCGCATTTGTCCTTTTTTGAAAGGATGTGAGAATTCCACATTAATATCATGAGCTCGAGTTCGTTATTTCATATATAGAAGCGTGGCGAGCGCAGCAAATAGAGCTCTCTAGAGAAAGTGAAACTGATCTCGCTTTTAGATGGCCTCGTCAACAAAACCAGGGCACACAGCAGATTCTGCTCTTCATCTTGGCTTTGTGGCTGTTCATCAACACGACGACAGGGTTTGTTTGCACTCTGGTCGACCATGGTTCATTATTATATGTACTGTATATATTATTACGGTGTAATGTCTGGGCTGTGTATGTAAAAAAAATGGTGCCTTCTTTGCTATGCTGGTGACGTTTCTCTGTAAACCAATAGCATTTAGCTGCATGTCTAGCTTCACTTTTTGGTACCCTTTTGTTGTGCTAGGTACCCTTTGGAAAGGGTACCCAAAAGTGGTACAGTACAGTTCGCTTTTTGGTACTGTTTGACAGCGGAAATTACCATAAAAGCGTACCGTATCGTACCACTCAGTAGAAACATAACACAAGAATACATTTAAATTGATATATTAATGATTATGGCTCATATGATAATTTAAAGTGTTTAAATTGAGTCAATATTTAAGTTAAATATGTTAACTTAGGCTTTACTTACGTCTGTTTGGTCCACAGAGGGATTGTTTGTTGCTGGTCTCAACCTGACTTTTGATGCGAATGACATGCTCCAGTACCTCACAACATCATTAAAAGAGAAGACCATGACGGCTTACCCTCTGTTGCTGGAATGGGTGAAGGAGCAACACCCAGGCTCGGGCACACAAAGCATCAACATCATCGCTGGAGATTTTGTTGGCGTGAACAGCTTTGCTCACGATGTCATTCAGCTCAACAATGCCAAAAACTAGTTCTTGAAGATCTAGTGCAGGGGTCACCAATCTCGGTCCTGGAGGGCTGGTGTCCCTGCAGGGTTTAGCTCCAACTTGCCTCAACACACCTGCCTGGATGATTCAAGTATACCTAGTAAGACCTTGATTAGCTTGTTCAGGTGTGTTTGATTAGGGTTGGAGCTAAAATCCAGTTTGGTGACCACTGATCTAGTGGTAGATACTGTTACATTTCGTGAATGAAAGAAAGAATATATATTGTAGTCTGTTAAATGGGGGTGTAATAAAGTGCTGCAGAGATGACATGTTTTGTTGGCCAAAATATGGAAATGTCAGCATTTTTGTTTTGATGTCAGTGTATTTTTTGAATGCTTTTTGGGGCAAGGCCTGAGATAAGGTCTCTAATGACAAGTGCAAGATATAGTCATGCTTTATTAATAAAATAAATAAAAAAATACCATCAGCAAACCTTCATCTTATGATTTTTTTAAAACTTCTACTTGTCTTGATTGTGCTTGCTGACAAGTTGCTAAATGGGACCACAGTGGCTAATGCGTTAAATTTAATCTAAACTGGAAAACTCCCTAGTCCACTTTTACAGTCTTGGAATCAACATGTACTGTACAGTTAAAGCTCAAAAATTGAAAAGTTTGAGATAAAGACTAAGAGTTTAGTGGCGAGGTTGGACTCTGATTGTGGTGTAGTTTGTTTATTACAGTCTTTGTTTAGCTTTTTACTTCTGACTGCCAGTTTATAAAAGTATTGTTCAGAAAATCTTATTGAATCAAATGTAAAAACCAAAATCAATATCATAAACTTATTTTCCATATAGGGTGTATTGTTCTGCAGTAATCCAAACGCTAAATGGAAAATGTTGGTATTGGTAGAGGTATCTGTGGTCATTTAGTGTTGGCCCAATAGAATTTAAATTTCCTTATGATTTTCTAACTTACCTAATGGCAAAGAAAACTTAACAGAGTGTACTTTTCATTTCTCATTTTCTTTCCCAAAAAAATATTATCTCAATTCTGGGTGAGTATACATTACCTCCTTCACAAAAAACACTTTTTTTTGTTGATGGTGAACGTATTACATATAAAGGTGATGTTTGAATGAACTTTCATTTTACAGTCATTAAAAAAATAAATGATACTTCATAAAAAATAAACAAAACAACATTTGAGGTGGAACAAACGTGCACCAGTTTGTTTTGGCTGTTTGGCTAAAAACAAACAAATTTTCAGATGATTCCTAACACTGTTGTCATTGATACTAAAGAAACAGAAAATGTCACAAGAGCGACATGAACATGGAAATTCTCTATGTTCTCGAACATCCACAACAAAACAAACACTGAATAAACATCCAACAATGTGTCTGACATGAAAACAATGCTCATTTTTCAGCTTTAGCGTCATTTTACAATCATTAAAAAATACAATTGAAATAATAATAAATTAAATATAATTAAATAATAATAATATAACAAGGTATCTGGTTATGCTAACTTACTGTTGGCTTCCTGGTCTTCTAACTTACCTGGTGGCAAAAAGAAAACTTAAGACTGTACTTTTAATCTCTCATTATCTTTCCCAAAAAGTATTACCTTAATTCGGCAGCACGGTGGCACAGAGGTAGCATGATCGCCTCACAGCAAGAAGGTCGCTGGCTCGATCCCCGGCTTGGCCAGTTGGCATTTCTGTGTGGAGTTTGCATGTGCTCCCCGTGTTCGTGTGGGTTTCCCCCGGGTGTTCCGGTTTCCCCCACAAGTCCAAAGACATGCGCTACAGATGAATTGGGTAAGCTAAATTGTCGGTAGTGTATGTGTGTGAATGAGTGTGTATGGATGTTTCCCAGTGATGGGTTGCAGCTGGAAGGGGATCTGCTGCATAAAACATATGCTGGATAAGTTGGTGGTTCCTTTCACTGTGGCAACCCCAGATTAATAAGGAGAATAAGCCAAGAACTAATGTATTATCTCAAATCTGGGTGAGTGAACGTTACTTCTTCACAAAAATCCCTTTTGTTGACAGTAAACATATAGGCTAAAGGTGATCTTTAAATTACCTTCATTTTGCAATCGTTAAATAAATAAATTAAACTTCATAAAAAATAAACGAAAGATTTGGCATGAAACAAACGTACGCCAGTTTGTTTTGGCTGTTTGGTGAAAAACAAACAAATTTTCAGACGCTCCCTAACACTTGTCATCCTGGAGAAGCAAAACATGAACATGAAAAATCTCTACGTTTTCGAACATCCACAACAAAACAAACACAAAATAGACATCCAGCAATGTGTCTGACATGGAATGACGTGAAGAAAAACACAAAAACAGTGCTAATTTTTTTTTTTTTTTTTTTATAAGGAGAATAAGCCGAAAACTAATGTATTATCTCAATTCTGGGTGAGTGAACGTTACTCCTTCACAAAAATCACTTATTTTATTGACTGTGAACGTATCAGCTACATATAAAGGTGATCTTTAAATTACTCTTCATTTTGCAATCATTAAATAAATAAATTATACTTCATTAAAAAATTATGAAACCCAATATAGGGGTGAACAATTGTGCACTAGATTGTTTTGCATGTTTGGCATCCAAAAACAACCAAATTTTCAAATGGTGTCGGCACCAGTGGTGTGGTTAGTGCGTCGACACATGCACTCCGATGCTTAAGGCGACCCGGGTTCGATTCCCACTTCGCAGTCCTATGCCGATCCTTCCCCTCTCTGCTCCCCATGCTTTATTGAAGATAATATCTACTGTCCTATACATTAAAAGTGAAAACCCCGAAAAAAATATTAAAAAAAGAAAACATTTTCAAATGGCCCCTAAAACTGATGTCATCTATGCTGACAAAAAACAAATAGTGTCACGAGAGCGAAAACCTCTGAAAAATGAAGTTTACAATGCATGATGTAAGATGGGTAGACACATGTATGTGTGTACATGTAAGAGTGAAATACTGTATTTCATTATATAGTAACATAGTCGTTGTCTTATTTGGTAAACAAAATATGCTAAGTGGTGGTTCCTGTGAGATTTATACTAAATACAGTACAAAACAAACAATAAAGAATGATGCCGATCAAAAAGGTATAACACCTTTGATGATGGGTTATTATCATTATAAAGTCCCTTTGAGACATCCAAATTTAAAAAAAAAAAAGTTTGAGATTTTTTATTTAACCACATAGTGTATTATATAGACCAGGGGTGCTCAAACCTGCTTCTGGATATCTACCTTCCTGCAGATTTCAGTTGCAACCCTTTTTAAACACAACTGCATTTAATAATCAAGTCCTGTTTAGGTTCTAAATGATTGGTTCAGGTGTGTTTGATGAGGGTTGGATCTGAACTCTGTAGGAAGGTAGATCTCCAGGAACAGGGTTGAGCACCCCTGATATAGACCAAGGGTCACCAAACTCAGTCCTGGAGAATCAGTGTCCTGCAGATTTTAGCTCCAACCCTAATCAAACACCTGAACAAGCTGATCAATCTCTTACTAGATATACTTAAAACACCCAGGCAGGTGTGTTAAGGCAAGCTGGAGCTAAACCCTGCAGGGACAGCAGCCCTCCAGGACCTAGATTGGTGACCCCTAATATAGACCTTAGGCCAGTGGTTCTCAAACTGTAAGTTTGAGATGAAATTCATTCCTCTAATTATATTAAAACATCAGAATTTCATTATTTGACATTATGTTCATATAGGTCTGATTCAATCTTATGGGACATCAAAGGTACTTTATAGTGATAATGACCCTTAAATGCATTCTGTTACAGTTTAATTTTAGAAAATAATCATTGTGCTTTGTTGTTAATTCATACATCAGGGACCGTATATTCTCTTTATATATTCATATTCTCTTTCGTTTTCCTAAACGAGTTTGTTTGCCCATGCTGCAAACTTCCATCGTTTGCTAAATTTAAAAAGAAAAAAAAACTGCACTTAAGGAAGTGTATCAGCTGAGTTGGCGAGATTTACAAGATCTGTTTGTCAAGGGTGAAGCAGTTCAGATTGAATAAAAAAGCCAAATAAGGGGTTTTACAGAGAAGTTAAAAACACTGCTGATATATTGAAAAAAATCTTTTAATTTGTTCATCAAAGGCTTCACTGTAAAACCCAACAGTCAATGTTATCAAATGAAATTGAACTCAGTGTTGAAGGTAATGAGTTAATTAAATACCTCATTACTTCAACTTAAATGGAGTAAGTTCAGAGTACTCGTATTAGTTTTTAACACAAATGGTTTGTAGCAATTGGTTTCCTCAGACGGTTTGAGTCGCCTTAACTTATTGGGTTTTACAGTACTCAATTGGTTTGAGTTCTCATCATCTATGGGGTTTTAATGTGCTCAAATTGCTTTTACTCTAATGGATTAAGTTCACAGTACTCATTAGGATTAAACTTAAATGGTTTTTTGCAATCAGTTTCCTCAAATGGCTTGAGTTACCTTAACTTATTGGGTTTTACAGTGTGGATATACATTAAATGTAAGAAACATTCAATTCAATGTTGTTGAAACCAGTTGCACTGCTTATTGCTAATGGCAATCATGGACTCAGGAAACGCAATTTTAAAAAGCATTTATTTGGAATTAATTTTTTATAATTTTTTTCAGTTTTGTTGGAATATTCTTCTGAATATTTGCTGGGAAAATGGACAATAGGGAAAGACTATGTTTTATACTGAATATTTTTAAGAACATGTTATTTTACACTCTACAACTCATTGATTGGTTGACTTTGCTTTTAAAACAGTGAGTTAACCTCTTCTTCTTCTTCTTCTTTGGCCTTAGTCCCATATGGTTGCGGGGTCGCAAAAAAAACAACTTTTTTTAAACATTCCGACTGGCCTGTCGTCAGGGCCTGTCACCCTCATACACTCATACCACTGACAATTTAGCCTACCCAATTTACCTGCAGCATGTCTTTGGACTGTGGGGGAAACCGGAGCACCCGGAGGAATCCCACGCGAAGGCAGGGAGAACATGCAAACTCCTCACAAAAATGCCAACTGCATGGCTCATTACATTTTTTGTAATAAGTTTGAAAAGTCAGGAACAACAGTGAGGCAGCTTCCTTCAATAGAAAGTCAACTGAACGGTTCGTTAGATGGTTAGATCATTTACCCTGTCCAATCCACACCCTATCCATGCCTCCCTTCAGTGTTGGCGTGGTCTAAATGTGCTGTGTCTCTAAATGTAGAGGAACTGAAAGAAAACTAGAGAGTGACCCACTGAATATGAACCACTTGACCTGACGAGAGGGCGTTGCCTGAACTACATATAAAAACGACGCAAACTAAATTTAGGTGATTTGTACACATAAAAAGCACATAAACGTTTGCATTCAGTCATTTAGCAGATGCTATTCTCCAAAGCGACTTACAATTGAGGAACGATTCAACAAGAACAGGTATGATCATATTTATTTTAAAGCTCTGATTTGATTGTTTTAAACCACAAGTGTTCGGTTGAACAATTCATAGCCATGTTTGAAAATTGTATTTTTATTTTCAAGCATTTTTATTTTCTATCAGCAGCTTATGATTGATCAGATGCTATTTTCCTATATTTCAGTTTATTTTCCTAAACTGAAAGAACAGAAGAATGGCTGAAGCGGAAGGTCTTGCTGACTGGATGTCCAAATTGAATGAGACATTCACAACAGTCCCCTTGTGCTATATTGCTATTCCAGGTATGCAGTAGTAACTAGCTAAAGCAATAGTACATAGCTGACAGGTTTTAAAGTCAGGATGAAATTAAAAATGTACTCTGCTTTTTGTCCATTTTTTAATACCTCCATTTTGTTAGCAATGCCTATTTTCAAACTATCGGATCGATTCCTAAAGGACAAAATCAAGAATCGATTTAAGCAGATGTACATCATTGGAAGAAAATGACCATTTTAACTTCTATTTCACTGCAACTTTAATAACGATAATTTAATTCACTGCCATTTATACATTTGGCTGGCATTTGTACATAAATCGACATTTAGGATTTACAAACTATTATACACATATTAAAGCTTTTCATCAAGTGAACACACGGTACTCTATGATGAAAAATGAGACAAAAACTGAAACAGCACACATTTGTTTTAGGCAGCCACGATGCTATGGCCTACAGCTTAGACATGGACTCTCCATTGCTGGAACCTGACAGTCTAATAACTATGGATTTGATATGCTGCGGTTGCTGTAGGAGCATTGTCAAGAACTGGAGCATCACTCAGGTAAAATACCTATAAGTACACAGTC